AATAAAATATGAAACAAAAATGCGAGAGATTTGATTATCTCTTTTTTTTTTTTCAATACTTCTTCTAATCCAATACTGCAAAAGCCGCGAGTGTGACGGTGAGACAAATATTTTGTTTAAGGAAAGAAACTGTGTTATGATGCGCCTACGTTTACTGCGTATCATGTCCTTCGATCACGACCGTCTACTTTTGGCAGCAAATTTTGATGATTTAATTCTACGGCTGATCTTGTGTTTTTAAAGTGTGCTCAAAAGGGTTTGTTAATTAATTGCTATATTGAGAGATATTGACCGTGGGTGCATAAAACGATAATTTTTTATTTTACGCATTATGATTTTCAAATAATTAAAAGTCAGTGTGCTGATTAACTACACTGTAAATTAAAGTATAATTATTGCAAAATTAAACCTTTTTTACATACTAAAATTTGATTTTACATGCGTTGCTTATGAATATTTACTTTTTTAATTATTTTTAAATAATTATATGTTGAATGAAGAGGGAGTTGCGTGTTGAACAAACAATTGATACACATTAACCGCAAGGTGTATTAACATGTAAAGTCTGTCCATACGCAAGATATAATAAATTAATATAGCGTTTAAAATAAAACGATTTCAATGTATTTATCAAATAAATCCATTTAGAGTTCCAGTCAATAATTCTAACGCATGATATGAATTTATTGAGAAATTTAAATAACTTCAAATAATGAATTTTCCCAAAATAAACGTATATTATATATAAATATGATAATTTTATGTTAATTCCTCTCCATTAATAATAATAAGAAAAAAATGATAATTATAGCACTCTTGTGTTTTTCATTTTTCTCTAAACTCTCGATTCATAACTCCCATTATACTCAAAAATAAAACAAAAAAAAGAAAAGAAAAAGACTATTTGGTGAAATTATATTTTGATGTGCTTTTGGGCGTACATCAAAGAAAAATTCCTACCGAGCCAGGCTGCCCAACATGCTCGGCCTTGTTTGAAAATCAAAATTTATTATTTTATTTTTATTAATTTTTTAAAAAATCAAAATTTATTAGATTCTAATCAAAGGAAGGAAATATATTCCCAACATATCGTTTATAAGAAAGTTTCTAATATCAAGTGGTGAAATATCATAAAACATATAATTATCAACTGTATCAAAACCCTTGTTAGCCATGTAATTAGCTAACTAATTCTCTTTCCAAAAAATATATCACGTTTTAATTTTTTATTAATTTTGAATTTTTAATTCGTTATATCTTTATTTTTATAAAGTAACTTCATTTTAATGTTTCGGTTATTTAATAATTCAGAAAATATTCTAATGATAGGTAACATAATTTTCACCGTGAAATATTATATCAATATCAACAGAAGGATTTGATCAAAAAGAATAAAAAGAAATCATTTTAAAAAAGTTAAATATTTAAATGAATAATTTAGAGATAAGAAATTAAAATAAATTGAAATAAGAAGATAAAAATCATAAATGAAACTTACTTGCGATGTATCATGAACTTGATTATAATATTCGGAGAGTTTTGATGTGGCCAATAACTAGTGGTTAATTGTTCGGTCAGAATCTGGATAATTAATGCAACCGTGCCCACTGCAGTTGGGGAACTCCTTTTTGTCAAAGGTAATCCATGACCCAAGTTTGCTCTCATTAATATCATTCCTAACTAATCGACAACTAATACGTACCGGAAATTTGCTGGGTGTTTAATTTCCGAGCAGAGGCCCCAATTTAACTCCAACCATGGAATCGGAAGTGGTTAGGTAGCCACCGGCCACTCCTTTTTCCGAGTTAATTAGCAATTATGGCTTAGCTGTTGGAAAACGGCACCACATGCAAAATATGAAATCAGATAGGTACGTTCCTCTATTTCTCTTTGAATATTAAACACGAGGATTCTTTTTAAAAAAAAAAATCAAATACTTATTTATTTAACCAATTTTCATGTTGAAAGTATATTTTAATTGCAAATAATTTTTAATTAAAATTAAATTTTTACTAATGTTATCATGCATCATTTTTAAAATATAAAAAATTATTGTAGACGATTATAGTTATCTTATTAAATGAATATATTAAATTTATATTTTCTTAATTTAATGTTAATTTTTAATTTATAAATTTTAACATATTTATATTTTTTAATCATTATTACTATTTTAATTATAATACAATTCCAAAATATTTCTGAGTTCGCTTCTAATTGCTGATAATGTATTTATCGTACAGTTCTTTTGTGTTTCAGGTGTCCTATCAAGGGTAGTATGGAGGTTGATGCTTTTTATTTTTGATTGACCTCGTCTTTGCGGATTTTTTGTTGCTTCTACCAGTTTTGGTAGCCTTGTGTTTCTTTCTCTTATATTTATTAATTTTTTTTCTACTTTTTAAAAGTAATGTATTTATCCTGCATGTGTGATTGATACAAATCGTCAGAAAAAGCGTGAACATTCAATCTTGAATAGTTGCTCGTGGAAAGTCTCAACATTCAACAACCGTATTTAATAATCTTAAATTTTATAGACAAATTATTATTTGACTTCAGTTTACGATATCTATAATGTTAGTTAAAATGTTAAAATGTTGTTTTTATAATTTTTGTCATTTAATTAAAAAGAAATAATTGCTTTAATTAAATTTTTTTATAACTATATGTCTATATCAACCTTATGGGTCATATTAAATTAAAAGAGGAGAGACACGTGTTCATTAATTTAATGCTACATACCACTTTTGTCGTATATATATTATTTATTTACTCATAATCTAACTTAATATTTAATGCTTTTACGTGTATAACACGTTTGTTTTGAGAGACAAATTATTTTGGATTTAAATTGGCCATGTACAGTTGCACCTTGATTATGATTACATATTTGTAATTGGCCCGAGCTACGACTGCGATAATTTACACCCCGACTTGAAGCTTTAAGCTTGTGAGCTGTCGCCAATGCATGGGTAGGTGGCCACAACGCCAACCTCATGTTTCATATAGAAGAGAGTAAATGGCTTCTCACTTTCATATAAATTTGAAAGGCGCCGCCAAATCATTCATGATATAATTTGTATGGCATGAAGAAATTAAATATTTTACATATTAATTATATATATACTGAGAGAGTTAAATGGCTTATATTTTACCAATCTTTTTCTTTTTCTTTTTTTGTACTAAACCCAAATTTTCAATGACTATATGATTTTCAATTAATTACAACTCGACTCATGACTAAGATTAACATTCATTATATATTAAAGGATTTCGTATGGATTTTTTTCTTTATGAGAAATTCCTAGACATGGACATATAAAACATTTTTTTATATATATTTCTGAAATAAAAAAGATTTTGGTTAAAATTGAAAATGAAAAAATATGGATATATATAAACATTTTTGTTTTGTATTAAAAAAATTATAATTTTATATGAAAAAAGTTTTTATGGGGTTTTTAGATAATGTCACATGGACATATTAAATGAAGTGATTAAGTTTCAGGTAGAGTCATCAAAAAAGAATTATTATGAAATTTGACCTCACGAGGTGCATCATTGATGATAATGATTCTAATTAAGGTTAATAAGAAAAAAAATATTAGTATTGGTAAGTGGTGTACATATACTGATAGACATCACACGTTGTCATTTAATTAATGCTTTAACTGCCACCTGTCACTCCAGAGCTCCTTATAGGCAAATCCTTTGGCTTCTGGCTTCCGCGGCCAATGCTCTCCTCCTGTTCCTTGGATAACAATTATTTCCGTTTGGAATAAGATTCTCTTCTCTATTAACTTATTCCATTCAATGGTGTCAGCAGCCCTGGAAAGCCCAGTTTCGGGCCGAAGGCTCTCATCCGTGGTGCCTGCCGAAGTAACAGGCGACAACAAGGACTTTGAGCTCTCGAACATGGACTTGGCGATGAAGTTACATTACATCAAGGGTGTTTATCTCTTCCAAAGCGAAGCAGTCCGGGGGGTGTCGGCCAAGGACTTGAAAGAACCAATGTTTCGATGGCTGGAATTCTACTTCACTGCCTCGGGGAGGATTCGGAGATCCTCCGGAACAGGCAGGCCGTTTATTAAATGCAACGATGCTGGCGTCCGAATTGTTGAAGCTCACTGTGATGGCAAGACTATTGATGAATGGCTGGCAACCAATGACCATTCTCTTGATCATTTGCTTGCACATGATCAAGTCCTTGGTCCTGATCTGGGATTCTCCCCTTTGGTTGTTCTGCAGGTATATTTCTTACCATACTCTTTCCAATCACTGCTTATTAATGTGATACAGATCGTTAGAGAAAAACGAACAAATAATGATCTTAACTAAGTATTGCCATACAAGGTAAGTCTAGGTAGTTTCAAAGCAGGTTCTACTTTCTATTTTCCTTTATACTCCAAATTCCATTGATAGCGAGAGTTAGAATTATAAGATCAAGCCGTTTGGAAATCCTCCATGCAAACTGGAGTTCATCGTTTTAAAGTAAAAATTCTTACAGAGGCCATAGCTTCTGTAAACATGGAGATCAATAAGGTCTCAAGTTTTAACCCTCACAGCTAGCATTTTTACTTCGTAAAGTCCCTCAATAATCAATACCTATATATATATATATAGCAGCTAGGAACGCAAGTACATGCTTTTCATTAGAGTCCAATATTATTGAACAAATTCATAAATATTCAAGCTTTGAATAAATTCATAATTACGAGATTTGAATTAATTGGACAGCACAACAGCCATAAATAATGTGACCTAACTTTTTATTTTTATTTGGAAATGAGAGACTTGGAATCAAACTTTTTAAGCCAAGAGATACGTGTACCTATTGATCCAAATGTTAAGATGTACAACACAATTAGTTATTGAATTATGCTTTATATATTCTTTTATCTTGTAATCTACCATTACGATAATAGAAAAACTAGGACAGCATACTTAGCTTGGTCAATAGAGATTATAATAACTACTTTAAAATTAGATATGTTCCTTTACTCAATGCGATTCAGTAAGATTAAACTTACCTTATAATTATGTTTGAATAGAGTTTTAATTGTAACACTACAATCTGTCATAGATTGGATAGTAGTCTTAGGGTACTCACTATTTGAACCCTATTAAAATTAATGAGTATTAATATTAAATTTTAATTTTACATATATTTATTTCTATTTATAAATTCCTTAAAATTAATGTAATACTTTTAAAATGTTGTTAATTATCTAACTATAGTTTTAAAACTTTAATTTTTTATGAATTAATTTTAAGTTATTAATATAATTTTAATTAATAATATATATAACAATTTGAAATTTTAGTTTTATTTAAATATTTAAAAATAATGTCTAAAATATTTGGATACAAATTCATAAAATAATTTTAAAATTTAATTAAATATTTATAAAATTCGAATACCTTATCAAAAAAAATATATTTGAAGTAATATACATGAGAAATAGCATGTACTTACCCATTAACATGTAATTAGAGAAATGAGATAATATATCATTTTATTAATTATTTTAATTTTTACATCTTTTTAATGAAAAAGAATATAAATAGTTAAAAATTTAAAGAGTGGGAGAAAATAAATATTTATTAAGTATGGTATGGGATATAAATATATTATTAATTATATTAATTTATATATATTTTTAATACAATTAATTATATTATTATAATTAATAAAATGATATATACTACAAAACTATTTAAAAAATTCATGAGGTGGTGATAGGGATGCATACACATCGAGTTTTTTTTACTGAATACGGAAAGTTGGAAACTGTCGAGGCAGTTTGGTACTGGAATGGCAGTGAATCAGTTCAGTTTGGTACTAAATCCAGTGAAATGGCAATGCCAAATCTTGCGGTAGGTGCGGTACCAAGTAAACGGGCGGTGGACCAAAACCCCTGTCGACTGTCACCAATCATAGTAAATGAAGACTTTTCTAGTTCTGCTAGAGTTTAAATGAGATAATAAAGGAGGAAGAGGAAGATGCCCTGGTGTTGGACGAACAAGAAGGGACGGTGGTGCCAGGGAGAGGGAAAAAGTTGTAACAAAAGGAAACCTCGTGGAGATATATGAAGAGAAATTTCCCTTTAGTGGTTTCGTATTAATGTTAGTAAATGAGATTGTAACCGCGCTTTGGTTAACGCGCCGAAAGGGGAAGTCTCCATGTTGAGCCAAGAGAATTAAATGCTACCATTACTCTTGATTCTTGGGAAAAGTCCAAGGGAGCAAGACGGTGAATTGGCGAGAATGATTAGATAAGTTTGCATTGATTACCAATTTCTTTTGCTTGTCCTCTTGTGTTCTTAAGACGCCAATAACAAATAAATGCTCACGAGTCAAGAATTGAGAAAGAATGTTAGATAAGTCTGCATTTATCCCTTCGAGATTTGTTGCTTTTCCTCCTGTTGATGCGTTGTATATTGTCTGTATA